GGAACGGATTAACCGGATTTACATTGAACCCTATGGGGAAATTTGCGTCGGGTTACGACAAACTCGGGATATGCCCAGAGGCACGGAACGGATTAAATTCGTATCCCGAGGTACCACTATATCTATGTTTATTGCTGACTGGAAACCCCTTATGAACTTTTTATGTAAAACAGGAAGAAATGAACTTACGATTTAGAGTTTTGATGATTAGATAGGATAGATTATAGAAACAAGTAACCATAACCATGTAACCATAAAGTAAGAGGTAAATTTATAATTGTACCTATAACTGCTGTAAAGAAGATCGGAAGCTACTTCTTTGTATCTTTTTCCTTTTCTATTTTTTTTCCTTTTTTTCCTTTCTTGCACTTTTAAGCTTTCTCTTTGATTTCTTTCTTTCTTTCTTTCTTTTTCTTTTCTTTTTTACTTTATATTAGTTTGCATTAGTTTTTATCTTCCTTCTTAAAAATCTTTAATAAAAATTATATATTAAACAAAAAGAAAGCATCTTTCCAGGAATACTTTATATCTTGTTAATATTTTTAATTAACTGAATACATTCGCTGTAACTGGAATCAAAATTCTGTACTTTTCCTACAGATGAAATTCTGTCTAAACATATAAAACTATAATATGGCAGAGGGGTTGGGATGGGGGGTGACTACAGAACAACAGAAACTTATTCCCTGGAGTTTATATAGAAACAAGCAGCACAAGCAGCAGCACAATATTAAGAACTTTAGGCTTTGCTGTCTAATGGAAAAGAAGACTGAGAACAGACATGCTCAACTCAGGAACATCTGCTGAAGAGGAATAAAGACACTCAAGATGGCAGTTGTGATTGAAGCCCCATCCTTCCAGCTTCTTTTCTAACACATATCAAAAAGGGGAGGGGCTTCAGTTATAGTTGCCATCTTGACTTTTTTTTTGTCCTGGTCCCACAACTTTTTTTGGGGGGGGGGAATGCAGCCCCTTTCAAGTCCAAGCACAGCACTTGGCTGGAAAATACTGTTCATCCCCAATTCAGAATAAAGATATTAGAGTGCTCATCATTTAAAAAAGGATGAGGAATTTTATTAACACCAGAACATACTTCATCCTACAAATGTGACTTACCTTTCTTTTTAAAACTTATCCAAAAATAGTGTATGTCAGGATTTAACAGCAAATGGTTAGAGCTTAAGCCAAGATAAGAATCCTTTATATTACTAATTTTTCATAGGAAGCACATGTGCATTTTAATTCCTTGTTACTAAAAACATCCTAGTAGGATTAAGAGTCTTTTCTGTAACACTCACCAAGCTGACTCAGATAATTAATTCTACTGTTTTTCTGAAGGAGCTAATCCTCAAAAATCTTGATCTTCCGTGGCCTCAATAAAAACCATGCAGTTGTTACACTCAATAATATGTGGATTAATACAATTATCTTTATAAGGGTAGACATCATGCAATATCCTTAGCTTTACTAGCCTATATCCCATTCAATCTGCATTGTTTAATAATACAGTATGAAGAACGTAGAGGTACAAGTGAGAGATATTTATTTTTTGCATTTATATTTCAACCTGAGAACTCAAGATGGTGTATATGGAGAGCCCCTCTAATTTTATCCCCACCAAAACATTCTTAGAAGATAGATGGGACTAAGAGAGAATGATTGATCCAAACCCAACCAGTGAGCTGTATGCTTAATGAGGCCCACATCCAAGTCTTCTCCAATCTAAGTCCAACACATTAACAGTAGCTTGGGGTAAATAAATTCTGTAAAATTTATTTTATGTTGATAGAAGATGATATTTTAACTGTTTCTCTTGTTCTTGGCAGGAAATATGTTTTGCAAATTACAAAGATAAATAGATCATCTCAGGAAATTTAAAACATTGCATACTTAACACCAACACTATTTAAAATGCTTAATAATAATATGTGGGAAGAAAGAACATTCCCTTTAGTTTACAATAGCTATCTTGCCATAACCATCTTCTAAACCATGACAAAACCTTTTTACATTGCTGACTTGTTGCAAATTAATGCAGAAAGAATTGTGTGAATATCTCCCCTCCCTTGAGAACACTGAAACATAGATGCAACAAAACAACAAAAATTGACTGTCTAAGAATATGCCTTAGGGTTTGCAAAATTCCAAATTATATATAGATTTTAACAGTACAATTTTCTTCTACAAAAATACAGTGTTGAGTCATAATAGTGTTAAATATTTGGAGAATAAATAAATTTGGAGAATAAATAAATAATCTAGATTTTCTTCAGGTTCTAAAACTGACAAGAAATTCAGGTTGGCATCTTACTTACCCTGTAATGATCCATTAAAATAGCCAACCAAGGTTTTATTGTCTTCATTATATCTTCAATCAAGTGTTCCTCAACTATAGAGCCATCATGGAAAGTCAAGTTTCCAACATGAATAGATTTCCTTATGTTTGGCAATGACAACAGGTTTCCAAAATATTCCTGATCTGCAGGCTCCTGTTATTAAAATGAGAAAGAAAAAGAACACACTCAAAATTACTTCATGAAAGCAAGAAAACAAAGTTATGCATCTACATTTCAGATGATTCTTTTTCTTTCTTATTGCAGCCAAGTGTGCTTAACACCACATCTGTGAGAACTGAATTAATTGACCTTGCAGCTTCATGTTCAAGTTTGAAATGATGAAACAATTTAATATGTTCAGATCAATTAACTTCATAAGAAGGAAAAAGCCAGCAGTTTGTAAAAAGATATGGTACATGGTAAGAAAAATGCAAGAGATTTGTTTTTCACTGATTAATGTAAATAGACTGAATCAGTTCTGATACAAATTTAATGTCTGGAATGTCACTTCACTAGCTGTTCTTTTAAATAAGGGGAAAAAATTTTGCAGGACCAGACCAACAGGCCCAATTCATCCAGCATCTGGCGTGCTGGCAACAGGATTTCTCTGCTGTTTGCCCTCAGTACCTTGTACAAAGGTTTAGAACAGAATTCTGGGAGTTGAAGTCCACAGGTCTTAAAGTTGCCAAGGTTGAGAAACACTGCTTTAAAATATGAAAAATCTATGTAAACAACCTAGCCAATAGCTAATTAGACCATTGATTTGGAAGAAAAAAGTCATCTCCTTCTTAAGAAGAATGGGCTTCTGCAGACCAAAGTAGAAAGAATGGGTGAGGATGGTGATGAAGAGACAGGTTACTTTGGCAGTGCCATAGTCTTCACTGACCTCTTGACCTAGCAAAACTCTTAAAACACATATCTAGCTTTACAAAAAAGAATAAGAAAAATAAGGGATCTTTCCTGCAAGCCTTCAAAGACAGGAAAAAAGTGCATCTATTACTACCATCTGGTCTAATTGATATTTATTTATTTATTTAATTTGTATGCCACCCATCTCCCCCAATGGGAGAACATCATCACACTGCTATCATCCTTTTTGGTCTATATACCAAACATGTACATGTACATTTCCAATATGTCTGGCTTTTCTCATGAGTACTTACTTGGCACTGCAAGAAGTTGTAATAGTTGCTACATCCTGTAATAGTCTGAATATAAGGGGGGCTTCCAGTTTTATCACCATTCAACAGAGTATCAAATACCTGAGGAAGAAAACAATATAAGTTCAACATGTTCATTTTCACTGTTGAATGTGTCAACTGTTCACTGTTCTACAGTTGCCACAGCTAGTAAAGCTGATAAAATATACTTGTACTAAGAAATACTAAAAGGAAGATCCCTCCTTGCTGCAAGGTACAACTGAGTACTATATTTCAAGTCAGAAAAGAAAAATGTCCTATTCAAATCTATCCAAGATAGGTTGGAGAGAAAATAGCATTCTTTTCCCTGGGAAAAGTACATGCTGGATGAGGTGGGCCTATCAGTCTACTTCAGCAAACTTTTTTCCCCCTTATGTAAAATAGAAGCTAGTGAAATTAATATTTCAAAACAGTGTTTCTCCACCTTGTCAACTTTAAGATTTGTGGAGTTCTTCTTTCCACAAATCCCCCCCCCCCCGCTCAAAGGTTTTTGGTTTAAGTTGTTTCCCTCTCTTTTTTGC